AAGCAAACACACAGATGGTAAGAAATCCCACAGTACATATAGTGTGGAAGGTATGGACCCCTTTAGGGAGACAGAAAATTGCCCTTATCCAAACAAGAAACTAAGACATAACATTACCAAAAAAATGATATTAGTAATCAGTGAAAATTGTTCCTGGAAATAACTCATGCTAAAGTAATTTACAAATGTGGTCTCCTAAATGTCATGCAGAAACCGAAGGTCACTGCTCTATTTCATTATATCTAATAGTATTTAGAAAAAAGGGTATTGTTTCAGGGCTGGCAGAGACCATACTGCACCCAAGAACAGAGCTGGCTAAGGTTTATGACCTTGGGAGCAAAATTCCCTCTCACTTTTAAGTTGTAAGCAGATGACTATGCCACAAAAGCCACAGGCTATGACGAATAAGCATACATAAACAGAAGCTAGTTAGTGGCTTGGGAAGGAATCAGTTATCTTTACACTCTCCTGCCTGCCTTGAACTCACACCAGCTCCCAAATCCCTTGGTCAACACTCCCGTTCTCTCCATGCCTCTTCCATTTTTGCAGTTTAACCTCTGGATAATGCAAACAACAGTCTGAGAGGAAGGTTTAGCAACTCCCAAGCTCACAGATGAAAGGGTAACAGAGACAGGACTCAAAGTCGGGTCTAGCTAACTTCCAGTCCAGACTCTTTACCTCCCACCATCACCTCATCCTGGGAAGTATCCAGAGAAAGGGCGACTTAGGACAAGTTCTCTGGCTTGTTGCTGTTGGTGTGAAGAGCCTTCTAGATGGTTCCAACTCCTGGCAATTCTGTATAGGGTTTCCAAGGAGCAGCTGGTAGGTTTGAACTGCCAACATTGTGGTCAGCAGTTCAGTGCTTATACAACAGTGCCACACAAGGACTCCAACCCAGCTAATCACTGCCAAAACTCCAAAGACACTAGATGAGGGGTGGGTCAAAAAATGAGGGAGCTGGAAGCCATAGGAAGAGCTATAAGAATAATTCCTGAGGACCGTTAGACAGCGCAAGACGCTACTCAGATGTTGCCATGGAGACTCTCTGACCTGTAACTCAAGAAACAGCTATTCTGGAATAGTCTCCAAGATTTCAAGGTCATTTGTGGTTTACGACAGAGCATCCCTTCTTCAGTATGAGGTAGGAGGTGGATGTAGGCAGTCCAAGCCTCAGATTCTGGATACAAAACTGATGATGTTAAACGAAGACTAACTGGGTCACAATCATCTTCTTAACCTGTGTAGGGGCCAACTTATTCATTTCTACATCTCCTGTGTCTGACACAGCATCTGCCACCATAGTAAGCATTTGTGATAGTTAAGGTTTTGTGTCAACTTGACTGGGCCAGGATTCTCAGTTCTCCCCCGTGATGAGATCTAGTATAATGTAATCAGCTCTATGATGAGGTCTGCTAGGAGCAGGCAATCTATTGAAGGGAAGCTTCCTCAGGAGTGTGGCCTGCTTCCAATGTACTAGACACTCAGGCAGATTAGCTTGCTTCATGCTGGGTCTGGATCTCATATCTGGCTCATCTGATGACCTCTGGTTCTCTGCACTTGAGCCAGTGGCCTGTTCTGCTAATCCTGGAAGTTGTCAGCAGCCTGCCTTCTTACCTGTTGGACGTGTCTGCCCTGCCAATCTTGGTTCTTCAGCCCTGAGCTATGGGGGCCAGAAGACTCCATCCAGCCTGACATCTAACCCACTGACTTGGGAATGACCACCTCTATAACTGTGTGAGCCATTTCCTTCATATAAATCTCAAGATCCTTCTCTCTATATTTATGTTGTTGGTTGTTTAGTGCCATCAAGTCGGTTCTGACCCATAGCGACCCTGTACAGGGTTTCCAAGGAGTGGCTGGTGAGTTTGAACCACCGACCTTGCAGTTCAAACCTCGTAATCAAGTGCTTGTCCTCCAGCACCACACCAGGCTTCCATAGACACACATACATATTTCCTGAGGACTGTCTTAGGCCGGGTTCTCTAGAGAAGCAAAACCAGGGAAGCTTATATACAGACATAAATACATATATATGCATATATTTGTTGTTGTTGTTCAGTGCCATCGAGTCAGTTCTGACCCATAGCGACCCTGTATAGTGTTTCTGAGGAGCAGCTGGTGAGCTTGAACTGCTGACATTCGGAGTTCAATCCGAATTTGAAGTTCAACATACTAACCCACAGCACCACACCAGGACTCCTGTGTGTATACACAGGGATGCTATAAATCGGAACCAACTCAACAGCACATAACCACCACCACCATATACAACCATACCTCATTATGTAAGTATCCTCTTAAAAAGATGTTTGTACCTCACAATAGTTAAAAATTGTGCACAAAACCACACCCACTGCCACTGAGTCAATTCCAATTCACAGTGACCCTTCAGGACAGGACAGAACTGCCCCATAGGGAGTCTGAGGCTGTAAATCGTACCGAAGTAAACTGCCTTATCTTTCTTCTGTGAAGTGGTTGATGGGTTTGAACTGCTGACCTTTTGGTTAGCAGCCTGTGCTTAACCCACTGCAGCATCAGGGACGCTTAGAATAGTTCAGTGGAGGCGAAAGTCTTTTACATGAAATTTTATCAGAGTGAGTGCCTTATAATTCAAATAAGCATTCAGCTGACAGGTATAGATCTGGTTGACTTATGAAAGAAAGGAGCGTGGGAAAGAACATCTGAAAGCCCGCCCTGGACTTTAAGGGCAATGGAAGGACTTATACTGTGCTGAGGTGAGGCAGGTGAGTGAAGTGTGCAAGTGTGGACTATTTGAGTAGGAGCCCCCAGCCACATGTGGTTACTGAGCACCTGAAATGTGGCTTGTGTGACCAAAAAGCTGAACTTTATATTCATAAGGTTTGCCGTTCAAACTCACCAGCCACTCCTTGAAAGAAAGATGAGATTTATAGTCTAGTAAAGCTCTGGAGCCTCAGAAACCCTGTAACAGGGTCACTATGAATAGAAACTGACTCAGTGGCACTTAACAACAACAAGAAGCATGTTGTTGTTGTGTACTGTAGAGTCGGTTCTGACTCACAGCAACTATGGACAGGGTTTCCAAGGAGCAGCTGGTGAGTTTGAACCGCTGACCTAGCAATTCAAACGACCTTGGAGTCCAGTGTTTATCCTACAGAGTCACACCATGACACCAGATAGATATATAGATATATATATGTGTGTGTGTATATACATATATATATGAATATACACACATGTATATATATCTGTGTATATATACATACATATATATGTGTATATACACAGACACACACACACACATATATATATACTTGTGTAAAGGTGATCTTTCCCCCCTTTATGTATTCTAAATAGTCAATATAAGAAAAGTCTGTTCAACAAATGATGCTAGAGCAATCAGATATCTAAACAGGAAAAAAAAGTGACCCTCAACCCATACTTTGAACAAATAAAAGAATTTAAACTTATAAACAAAACTATAAAACTTCTAGAAGAAAATATAGGAGAAAAATCTTTGATTTTTTTACCACAATCTGGGAACAGGAAATGGGAAGGAGCTAAACCTTGTATTCTTCTAATGATGACAGTACAGTACCACAAAATCAGGATCTCAAACATCACAAATCTTGATCCTGCTCTATTTTCTAAAGTATCAAAATTGTCAGAAAACTAAGACCTACTTTATTTGGATAATGAGTGATCCAAACAGCCCAAGCATAAAATAGTTTAATCTATAAAGGTTTACCTTTAATACAGTCTGTATTATAGTGAGCTTTCCACAGGAGTAACAGGGTACAAATAGGTTCATATTGTACTGTTTCTAATAACCATTATATTTGAGTTTCTGTTAACACTTTCAAACAAAAATCTTCATTTTCAGTAATACTCTTTCTTGGTTTGACATTACAAATAAATGAACCCAATTTTCACAACAGAGAAAGAATATAGTATTTTTAAATGGAGAAGCAGTCCAATGAATGAAGTTATGCTTTAACTTAGTTTGTTTCAACTCTAACACCAAATTTTAAATTATGCAATTAGAATGACAAGCTTCTAATTTTTCAGAGAGTAGGTTTGTTGTTGAGTGCCATCAAGTAGGTTCCAACTCATGGCCACCCTGTATAAGGGTCTCCAAGGAGTAGCTGGTGGGTTAGAACCACTGATCTTGTGCTGATCCTACACTGACACACCAGCTATCTAGGTGTTGTTCAGATTACAACAATAGCACACCATATGCCATCATCTGAAACACTGATTCCACATTGCTTTGAGCAAGGCTCTTTGCCAGTATGAATCATTACACCCTATTTTGTTGTTATTATGTGCCCTTGAGTCCGTTCTGACTCATAGCGACCCTGTATAGTGCTTCCAAGGAACGGCTGGTGAGTTTGAACTGCCGACTTTGAAGTTCAAACTGACCGTGTGGTCTAGTGTTTATCCTACAGCACCACACCAGGACTCCTAAAACACCCTTTGGTACTCTTAATCTGGAATGCAATACAGACCTCTTATTGGCTTCTGCTGTCCAATACAGTGGCCACTAGCCATATGAGACCACTAGAAAGGTGGCTAGTCTGAATTGAGGTACACTTCAAGTATAAAATACCTGAAGACTTAGTGCCAAAAGGAAAAAAAAAAAAAAGAATATAAAATAGCTCATTAATTTCTTATACTGATTTCATACTGAAATAATAATATTGTAGCTATGCTGGGTTAAATAAAATTCTTTGTTAAAATTAATTCCACCTGTTGCTTTTTACTTTGTTTAGTGGGGCTACCAGAAAAATTTAAACTGTTATCAGTGGCTCATCTTGTATTTCTACTAGGCAGTGCTACCTTAAATCATTTGTAAAAACAACATTATCTTACACTACAGAAATGATGAACTCCCCAAAAGAACTCACCTAGAGCCAATTAATCCCAGATCTAATTTATAGAAGCCAATTTCTTTTTGCTATGCATGCCTATCTTTGTATACTCCATTCAGCTGGAAGAAAGCAATTGTTGTTTGGAGGTACCTGAAACTCTGACGTACTGCTACGCAGCTGGCTCACATTTGGTAAGGACCCTCCATGATACTGGGTAAGGCGCAGTTGCTGAAGCTTCTGAAATTGAACCTAGAAAATCAAATGGAAGAAAAGCCATTTCAGGAATGTGGAGAAATGACAGCAAAGATCTGAAAGAAGCATCGAGTATTAGTCTTTTGTACTGAAAATGGTCAAGAATGAAAGCTTTGCTTTCAATTTCTTTTCTACTTAACGGTCACAATCTCCAGGTTTCTGGTTTTTGATAACTCTGTTTTCTGGAAAGAATTCACCTGTATCCCAGATGTGGCATGACATGATAGTAAGGTACTCTTACAAAGTGTGGCTATGTAAGCAAGCACACACATCTTCAACAGAAAAAGGAGTCACTTAAAGAAAAAGGCTACTATCTACAACGCTAACACATGAACTGTTGTCCTTCCTCCATTCACATTTACGTATAATAACTGCATAGTTGGGATCACAACATAGATACAATCTTGCATGCTAATATCACAAACCTTTTCTATGTTATTACACAATCATTTCTAATGGCTACATAAGATTACTTCTATTAAATTATTTCCTTCGAACACATTCCAAAGAGCGATTGCTAAGTCAGTCATTGGGTATGGCATTTGGATTGCTCTCGACACACTCTGCCAAAACACTTACCTAAAGGTTTTGCTGATTTACATATGAGAGAAGTTTCACCAAAAATCTCACTAACACTGAATACCATCATTAATTGGGATAAAGAAAGAAGCCAATTTGTTGTTGTTAAGTGCCGTTGAGTCGGTCTTGACTCACAGTGACACTGTATAGGGTTTCTGAGAAGCAGCTGATGAATTTGAACGGCCAACCTTACAGGTTCAAACCAACCTTGCAGTCTAGTCCATTCATCCACAGTACCACACCAGGACTCAAATGGGATACTTAAAACAGGTATCCCATTGTTTTAACATGCCTTTCTTCTGCAATTTCTTCCCTACTTTATAATCTAAAGTCTGTAAACTGGCTACAGTTTTTTTTTTTTTTATAAATCCTAAAGTGGTCTGATCTGGTCTTTAAGAGTTATTTCTAAAATAATAAATTGGTTTTGTGGTTAGAGAACCCATGGCGCTGATAATTCATACAGGGAAGAAGGAAGCTATGGATAGGTGCCCTTAAGCCAACTGCTTATCCTTTTAGGGTTTGGTCATAGACTAATGTTATAAAAATCTAGCAGATCTCAGCCCCAAAGATGGGCCAGGTGCTGTCCTAGGCTTTGCACACTTCATCCCTATCCCTCTCCACAGCCACATAAGGGAGACTGAGCTGTTCTGCTACCTCACAGCTGCAGACCCAGACTCAAGCTCCGTGAGTAGTTCAAAGTCACAGCAGGAGCCTAAACCCCGGCAGTCTGACTTGGAGCCTACACTTCTATTCCACCATGATCTACTCTTTTGCTCTGTTTCTCTCTCTCGGTGATTACACTATTACAAGCTCAGAGAAAAGTGAAGTTTACTTGACTAATAGCCTTGCTGGACCTATAAAGCTTTCTGATTTCACTTTGTATTTACTTTTTAATCATGAAAAATTTCATGTATATACAAAACATAGAGACTAGTATAATAAAGCCCCACCTACCCATCATCCAGAAGGAGCTCTGGTAGCATAGTGGTTACAAATTGGGCTGCTAATCTCACAGGTCAGCAGTTCGAAACTACCAGCTGTTCCGCAGGAGAAAGATAGGCTTTCTGATCTCGTAAAGATTTACAGCCTCAGAAACCCTATACAGAGTCTCTATGAGTCAGAACCAACACCATGGCACACAACAACAACAACAACCCATCATCCAGAGTCCTTGTGTGGTGCTATAAGATAAGCACTGGACCACAAGGCTGGTTTGAACCTCAAGGATGGCAGTTCAAACTCACCAGCTGCTCCTCGGAAACCCTATACAGGGTCCCTCTGAGTGGGAATGAACTCAGCAGCACTCAACAACAAACCCCTCATGCAGCTTCAACATTCATCGATGTGTGTTCAGTTTTATCATTAATGCCCTTGCACTCTCTCCCCAATGGAATCCCAGACATTTATCCTTTCATATCCCAATATGCATTTGCAAAGATAGGGACTCCTATTTCCCTAGAAGTTGTAAAGGCATAAAATGTCTTTTGACTGCTTAAAGTTTCTTAAACCCACAGTTTGATTTCTCAAACACACTATACTCTGATACATTGAAAATCTATAAAACCAAAGTCCAGATCTGAGAGCCAAACACGAGAATGAGGACATGGTGAGCTATTTCCATCCAAGACCTGAGGGAAAAGAATAAAGTCTCTCAGTCTTCAATCTTAAAATTCTAAACTAACGTCAAAGAGGCAATTGACACTTCATCCTTGAAATTCTCTATACAAAATTATTAGTCACCAATAAAACATTTAAAAAAATTATTGGTCAACTTGATCTAAAGTCTTTGATTCCTTCTCCCATCAACTCATATATTTATTATACAAATTGTATACAAAACTTTTAACTGGCTTCAAAAAGTTCTCACAAGTTCTTACCCCATAATCTTTGACACTTCACCAGGGCTAAATTCTAAATCTAGCTAGAAAGTTGCCTTCAACTGAACTTTCCTCATAGTCTCTTCTATCTGCTCTTCCTACAAAAGTCCCTTATGCCAGGGCCTTCAGAGACTGTTGTGTCATAGTAAAAAAAGCATTGGATTTGGAATCGGAAGATTTGGGTTTATAACCTGGGGTGCCCATGTGATGGCGTTCATTTATTTTGATGTCTATTGCACAAAGATGATGTAAGGAGTAAGCAAAACAACAGATATGACAAAGAAGTAAAAAATGGAAAGAACTCGAAAAATTTCTCAAGATAGTATTGGGACTTGTCTCAGATACTTCTTAAAACCTTGCGTTATTTTTGTTTTCCTCTTTTTAAATTTAGAATGGTTGGCTAGACAGAACCTTCGAGACTGCTGCCTTCAACACTTTCAAGTTTACTGTTGATGAAAATGAGCACCAAAGATGGACTAGCCTAAGGAAGAGGTCAAAAACAGGCAGCCCAGGCCACATTTAACCGAGAGTAGTCTGTATAACCCACGTGATGCTGACTGGCTCAGTGTTTTAAATTCCAATTTGATAACTAGAAGGCTGCATACAAATATGCATTCTCTTGAATGAAAAGTCAGCCTTAACAACAACAAATCAAAGCAAAAAGATACAGATCAAAAGGACAGAAGAAAGATGTTGTTGTTGTTGTTATGTGCCGTCGAGTCAGTTCCGACCCATAGCGACCCTGTACAGGGTTTCCAAGGGTGTAAATCTTTACGGGAGTAGAAAGCCTCATCTTTCTCCCATGGAGCAGCTGGTAGTTTCGAACCGCTGACCTTAAGGTTCGCAGCCCAATTCGTAACCACTATGCTACCAGAGTAACAGAAGAAAGATACACACACATATATATGGTGACTTGATTTTTGGCAAGTGTGCCACAGCAATTCAATAGGGGAAGTCTTTTCAATAAATGTTACTGGTACAACTGGATATACAGCTGGAAAATAAAAAGTGGTTGTATATATAGACTTTCAATGCTAACAGAGTCAAAAAAAAAGAGAGTGAGGGCCTATAAAGGCATAAAATGGCTGGTTCACAAGCTGTCATGAGTGTGCTTAGTTTCAGAATGAGGGGGATAATATGGAATCCCCACTGAATAGTTTCCTTCTTTTCCTGATGGATCTGGTGAAAAGGGGGTGGGGGATGATGGTGACAGGGTTTGATGATTCAATTGTGAGTATCAGCAGCATTAATTCTGATTGTCACAACAGTAACTGTAGAAGATGTGTAACTAAAAGGAGGGAGTAGTTAAGCTTCCATTTCAGGAACGGATGACCCCAGGGCCCTCATTAAGGAAGAGCAGGAGTGGAGTGTGATATCCCTCCCTAGGTAAGCAGCAATAGCAGAACCGAGGCTGTGTTCCTGCCGGCAGGAGCGTGATTTACAGAATGAATATTTATTTCTGTTTTTGTATGTGAACATCAAACATATTTTCCTTTGTTCATTTGTGAAACATAAGATGTAAATGGGGAGCCACAGGGAGGAAGTTGGATAACAGTTGTTGCAGGAAGGGGATTATAATCATTGAGATGATACAAAGTATACAATTTGTTGAATGTAAAGTTGATGTTCTTGTCTGTAAACCTTTACTCAAGTCACAACAAAAGTTAAAAACAAAAAACAGTGAGATTCAAGCCCCAGCTCTGTCACTCTGTCAAAATGAGGACTATACTGATAGCTCAGAGGCTCACAAGATAGTGCATGCAAAGGGCTTTGCACAGTACCTGGTGAAGAGACAGCCCTCAATATTTAGGCCCAAGCTAATCTTTCTCATTTTCTCTCTACACTTCGTCAAAGGTCTCTTTACTCTATAACACGAGGGTAAGTCAAAATGCATTACTGCGACGATTCCAGTTCATACATGCACGGGTTTATTCGAAAGTAAACCTGTTGAAACATGTCTCTGCAATCTGCGGCTGCCTGCAGACAAGCTCTCTCAGTAATCACACTGATCTAGGCTGCTGTCTAAAAAAAGATGCATGTTGAAACTGTGGCTTCCAACAGGATCTGCTGGGCCAGTTAAATTCAAGGCACAGTGGTCAGCTCAGATAGTTATGGTGACTGTTTTGGGGAACCCCAAAGAGGTAATTTTGATAGACTGTCTCAAAGGGTACAAGGCGATTGTGACGCCTTATTAGAAAGAAGTTTTAAGAAAACTGTAAATTACATTGATGAGAAAAGACTAATGAAGTTGTACCGAGGATTCCCCCCACCCCCCCCATCACAACAATGCACCTGCTCATTCTTCACAGTAGCAAGGGCTGTCCTAAAAGAATTTCATTGGGAAACACTTACCCCATCTACCCCATAGCCCGTCTTTCAGAATTCCTCTTGTTCCCAGGACTCAAA